CACCAAGCCTAGAGCCAAATGCATAAATTTATCATAAAAGTAAAAATATCAATACAATTTTAAACTTAAATCGTTTCTGAATTAAGCAATTTTCTGTTATATCACCAACATTTTAAATAAAAAACAAACCTCTTTACTCACTGGAGACTTTAAATTAAGAAATCAACAACATTTCATTTTATACTTTGAGTACTTACACTAAAAACAATATTAGGTTATAATTTTGTAGCTAAGCAACATGACATAAAAGCCATTGTTGGAACCTAGTGTTACCAAAATACACTGGATTTTCTATATGTTACAAGTTGTTAATCTAACTGATTGTTACCAATAATTATTCTATGTATAAGCCATGAATTTATTTCATGAATGATCTTAATTTTGATTGGCTCACAAAGAAATTTACCGACATTTGACTGCCTCAACTGCACTTTTCTGCCTCTTTGTTGGTCAAGCTTGATTTCACAAAATGTATTTATTTCTGTTAGCTATGAAATGTGAGGTTAGGGTATACTAAGGGGTGGGGGTGATAGTACTTGCCCCATCACTTTTGATGGGCTATATACTAGTTTGTGATAAACATCACACTAAACTATAATATTTTTTTACCACCTTTCTTTTAATTTGTCCGTTACAGATTTCAAATGAGAAGTGGCAAATTATAGAAAAGGCTAAAATATTTTATTTACATGCCTCTTAATTACAGATGAATAATCTAAGGTGGAAAGGGGGGGGGTCTGCAGTCTAGCATGATTTTTATAATTACTACCAAACCAATTTTTAAGTATAAGAATACATGATAAATTTATTTTGAAACAAATGTAAAAACTCAATTTTGAAATGCTGAGGCCTTCTTCTGAAACATTCTTGAGGTCAGCGTGACATTACACTCATGTGATTTTTGCCTGGTAACACAATCACCATCTTGACCAAGGGGCAAACAATAATAAAACGAGTACAGCTGCGTGTATGCAGTTTATACAGATCTAGCGTATACACACGTTACTGTTGAAGCAGCTGTACAAGTTCTTCAATCATCATTCATATATGGCCCCCAGTGGCACAGCGGTATGTCTGCGGACTTACAATGCTATAAACCGGGTTTCGATACCCGTGGTGGGCAGAGCACAGATAGCCCATTGTGCAGCTTTGTGCATAACTAAACAAATCATTCATACATTATTGTTTGATAGTCAAATTATAAATTTCAATGTTTTATCAATACATGGAGAAGTTGTCAGCAGAGGCATTAGCGAGACAATGAGTGAAGTTACAATTAACTGGGTTTGATTCTTGTCCCCATCACATCCTGCCGACTCGTGGATCAATGACCCGTCAGAATGGTCCAATACCCAGACGTGTACAATTATCTTGTTATAAAAAAGAAGACAACATTTACATGATATAAAATGAGCTGAAAACACATAGTTATAGTCAGACTTTGGCTCCCACATCTTTCCTCTTGCTTCCTGTGTTCGGCAGTTGGTAGCTTTCATCCATAAGATTCTTCTTTCCTTCTAAGTAGCTTGACTGGATATCAAATATCTTTTTGACTTATTGTTCGTGCAGTTGAATACACTACAACTCTTCACCATATTTGCAGATTTGGAACAACAAAAGTTCCTCACAAACACAAATAGTCATTACAAATATTAGTCTAGACAGAGGGCAAGTATTCAGAACGAAGAAATTTTCCCTTCATTGCACTATTTGTTTGCCCCTTTGCCTCAGTTACTATGTGGACATTGCATTATTGGAGGGCAAAGTTCTTGGATGTCAAACCTCAACAATCGTTCCCTTTTCATTCAATTGGCAGTTGCAGTCCATTAAAAGTTCTCAAATCATCTATGCCTTATAATTCTGACTTGTAATATCTGGTAATAATTACACTTCACCTACTTAACACTACTAGATTTGCTGATCATACAACTGATGATATAAATAGTGTCTAGGCCACTACTATGTCTGTCATATCACAGCTGTATTGGGTGAAAGACCTCGTTGGCACTAGATATGACAGATATAGTGTGATTGACATACTATTATTATTACAATTACATATTCATTATTCTTCTTTGCATTCACTTGTAAGTTATTATTATATTTATACACTGATAACTTATATTTTAAATTAAATATTGCCCAATTAGTTTATAATTTATGTGATTATAAGTCATTCATAGTGTAGTGTTAAAATTAGTGTTAACGAATACTGTAGAGACTGAGCGACCATACAAGGCTATGCCACGTGCCATGTATACGTTGATAAACTGATAGGCTTAATAATCTAATTTGTTGTCACACCAAATATATTATATAGAACTTTAATGTATTGAAATAAATGCCAAGTGTTGTTACTAATGTTAGTACTAACTCGTTAAAAGATGTAAATATAGTAAACTGTATAGGCAACAAAGGTACAGAATTTAAAGAATAGATTATAAAATTGCCAAGTTATATATATTTTGAATAAAAATTATGTAACTATTCTTTAATCTCACTTTCAAGTTTCAGTACTACTAATACTATCTCGTTACGTTAACACTAACACTTTAACTTACTGTTACAGTTAGAGTAATGGTACCAGTGAATATTATTATGGAAACACTGATGCTTTTCTTTGATGTAGTATTGTTTAAAATCTAAAAGAAAAAGAAGTTACAATTATTTATTTTTAACCACTAACACCTAAAAATCTTTTTCGAATAATTCACGTGTTAGTGTAACAAATTTAACAACTCACCGACAACCACGCCATAGTAGTCTGACGGTATAGCGAAATTTCAACGTTTGCTCTTGTTTTGTAAATTGTAAAATTACTGTATTTTATTAAATATTTATATGAATATAATATCAAATATTAGTAACATACATATAATATAAAAATAAATAAAAAAGCAAGGTATTCTTGCAACAAACTATAAATTTATCGTCGAATGGGCGGTTTTGAATAAGCGGCTTGTTTGAAGACTCTTCGTAATTTGTTCGGTTTTGATTTTAGACGATAAAAGCATGGACTTATTTTTTACGGTTCGAGTATCGTAATTAACTTTTAAGTTACACATACTGAATTTATCACCACATTTAACTTAATGCCTCCCTTGTACAAAGCTTTGTCCTCGTTCTTAGAAGCAGATAAGATCAACAATTTGAAAAAAATTGGTATAAACAATATTATAGAATTTGTAGAAAAGGATCCAGAAGTTTTGTGTTGCCAAAGCAAAATAAGCTACAAGGTAAAAATTCGCGTTTTTAAAATAATAAAAATATGATGAATAACAAATAAATAAATGCTTTTATGAACAACTGCTGCTCATGAATCATAATTTATACATTTAATGATTAATAATTTAAATGTGGTGCTGTATATTAAGATAACCAGAAAATTTCACTTTCAGTCAATACCATAACATTGTGTATTTGTTTTTAATATTAATATTCGCATAATGTATAGTAGGTTTACCTGAAGGTTTTACAATTAACAGTAATTGAATAAGGATTTCTTTAAACACGTTAAAGTTAAGCATAATGTTAAAATGGGAAATTGGGGCTGAAGGAAGGTTATTACAGGAGACTGTGGAATGTCTGAGTTGCAATTTTTAAAATTTATTTTGGCTAAAGAAGGAGTAAACAGTATTCTATGTGTAATTAAAAATATGATAGATATACATAAATTGGAAGTTTAAAAAAATTATAAGACTGGGGCCAAATACTATTTCTCAAAGGATGTTAAAAGGGGTTAAGGATTGCATAAGTAAGCACCTTAATGAAAATTATTGAGAGTCTCAGTTGTGGGCAGACCTAAAAAGAACAGAAACAGGTAATTAAGTTCCATCATAACTGAGGTTGAGAAATAATGATTCGCTAAAGTTTATAAAATTAGCTTGTATTAAAGTTTGAATGTTCAAATTGGTGCAATTTTGTAAAAACTATTTGACTTTTCTCCTGTATTATTCTCAGAAAAAATTCAGCAAACACTAATATTTTCACTCGGAGAGTGCTGAAAGCAACCCAAAATAAAAAATTTCAGTTTTTATTGTTATATATAAAATTCAACAAATAAAACTTTAATATGTGTAAGAATGACTACAAGTTAATTTTCCATAATGTTTTGTAATTAAACAACACAATTTTATCTTCAATGTTGGATGCATGCATCCATCCAGGCATGATTGACTTATGGAATCTGTTACCCTAAGCAGTAGTGGAGACCAGCACTTTACGGGAATTTATGATTTTCTAAAAAGCATAGGGTAGATGTGCAAGGACAGTCCTGAAAAACCAGATAGTCCTTTGTTGTCCATAATATATGTCATTGTTTGTTTTATTCAAGTGTATTCAAGACAATGTTGAAAATATGTACCTTTAATTATGAAAAAGAGCATCATGTGTTTCAATAAAACAGCAAATTATTCAACATTAATAGATAAAAAACTTAAAGTCAACCTGAGATTATATAACAAAATTTAATCATTCAGCGTGTTTTATTTGACCTAGTCTGTCATTGATCTCAATTCTGAGTGTTGTATTTAGGACATGTCATCTTCTTTATAGACAGGAAAAAAGGAACAGCATATTGAATGTAACTTAGATCCTGTTTCTTGGTTTACTTTTTGATTTTACTTCTTTTTTTTTTTCTTTACAGTTAAAAAGTTTAGTTTGTTGGATATATGATTTTTGTACATTAATGTAGATTCTCATAAATAATCTGTTTTTTTTTCTTTAAAAGTAAACATTTGATATGATTTATTGGTTTAAAAGTCACTTTTAATGCTACTTTTTTCAGAGTGACTAGAATAATATGTAATAGTTGTTTTGTGTTTGCGTTTGTATTTGTTTGGTTTGAATGTGTTTTGTTTAGAGGGTAGATAACTATGAAAATGTGCTCACTATATAGTTTATTCAACTTTTCTGGTCTTTGTTTTATTTTATTATAAGGATATTGTCAAGATCAGGAATGTTCTGCTTGCTCAGTATTCAGCTCTTCCACAGAATGGGTCTGATTTATATGAGACTTGCATCTCATCTTTGGCAATCTTCAGTACAGGATGTGAAAGGTACACTTGCATATCAAATAATGTTAAAAGATTTCTCATTAACAAAGAAAGCCGGGCTTTTTCAGTTTTAACATAGATTCATTGTGTTAAATTTTCTGTTCAGATTCCAATGTTTTCTTATAGAAACATGCACCGATATCTTGTTTTGGAGTATGAACTGAGAAGTTACAGAAGACTTGTTAATGGCACTTCCTAAGCAGAAAGTATATATATATATATATGCATATGAGGTCTAAATTTTACAGCAAAAGGGTTTTTTTTTGCCCAATTTACCTGTCCATTAAATTAAAAAAAAATTGTTATTTTTTGTTGTTGAAAATGGTATCATCAAAGAGTAAACCAAGAAACAGGATCTAAGTTACATCAGCCATCCAGTGTCAAGTCTTGTTTACTTTTTTGGTTTTTGTATTATTGATTTTTTTCAAATGTAAGTTTCTATTTACACATGTTAGTTTTTTTAGGCTTAATATTTTTGTAATTTGTCCTATCATTGGGCAGGTTTTTTTGGATTATTCAATAAAAGTAACGCGAAGTTCAGTCCATTTAATGATGACAAATTATTTATTTCTTTGACATACAAGCTCTGCAAGGTACATTAGTTCATGGGCCTACCTTCACAAAGAATTTCCACAGAAATTCTGAAGATATATCTAACTCATAAATACAACTTGCTTGTTAAAATTTCCTGTCATATTTATGACACAACTTAAAACTGGCTAAGAACTCAGTAATCAAGATAACACAGTAAATTTATTAGGTGATTGAATGGCTCATGAGTAACTTTGGAATAATGAACTAACTCACTGGTTAACAATCTTCTGGTGTTTAAATATTGTTACGCTGTTTCCTCCTAATCTTTAAACAATTTAAGACATAACTCGCTTTAACTCGTGCCATGTTCATCATATATCATGCCAAAAAGCTTGTTTTAGTGAAAAATGTCTAAACTAAAATATTAAAAACATAGACAACAACAACAACATACTGAGACCTGAAATGACCTGGATATTTTACATAGTGTAAAAGTCTAGGTAGACCGCACGTTATAGTAGCACCGATTGTTGTTTAATGATTTTCAATATAATTTAATTTGATGGGCATATTGACCTAAAATTGACTGGAGAATCCACATGTATAAACAACACTGGTATCTCTAAATTTTAGTTATTAATGGAAAATGTTTATTGTAGTAATGATATAGGTTTATATATATCTTGCTATTAGAGAGCCAACTTTTATTAAACTGTATATGTAGTACACATTAGGATTAACTGGAGTTTTCAGTTACTTCTAAGTTGCTAATTTAAGTCTAGTTGTGAACATTCTGAGACTTTAGATTAAAAGTATTGCTAGTGTTGTTTTTTGCGAAGGAAGTAATTTTCTTTAATGAAAATATGTATCTGTAGGTTAGATTCCTTGCTAGATGGGGGCATTTTTAATGGAGAAGTGACAGAGTTTGTTGGTCCACCCGCATCAGGTAAAAGTCAGGTGAGTTAAAAACTGAGCAAACTCAAAGTTCCCTTTTTTTAACATAATATACTAAAGGTGTTTTTATCTGAGTACATATAGTTCTTCAATAAATCTTGTTAAAAGTGCATCAGTAAATCATTGCAGTCATTGTACTGTTGATAAAAACCAATACACAACTATTTTTACAAAATGAGGGACCTGAGCACTTTCGGAAAGTAAACTTCTGTACTAAGAAGCGAGTTGGAAACTTTCAGAATTTATTCATGGTGGAAGAGGGTATACCTTGTACAAGCACTTATGTTTAAAAATTTTTAATTTTGTAGTTTATCTTATTCTTAATCTTGCATGATTTCTTAGTATCAAATTGTTAACTGTCATTACATAATATATTAAGTATTGCTAATTATCACATTTATTTGCAGCTGTGTTTTAGTCTTGCTGCTACAGTAGCCAATGAATCACAACGAAACGTGCTTTACCTCGACACCAATGGTACGTTTTCGGCTGAACGTCTACAGGAAATTGTCTCCAGCCATATTAGTAACCAAGAGGTATTAAAATATTAATCATACATCTTTGTGAGTAAGAGTCTTTGTTACTGTAACTGTATCCTGTACGTGTATGATGTGTTACTGTAGTGTGTATATCTTACTCTACTGTATTGTGTATTTAATCTGCAGAAATTGCCTATAAGTTCTAATTCTCCAACTAGCTAAATCTGGTGTTACTTTCCATAGCAGGTCTGGTCAAAGAAGTTATCTACTGTTTCGTGGAATAGTTGTATTCTGCTTTACCTCACATAGAGGACTGCTTTGCAATTGTTACATGGAACAAAGATACTTCTAGATTCTTATTATCCAGTTTTCTGATTGGTCAGATACAAAAGAAAGTGGTTTACGAATGCAGGTTTAGAAGGATCAAACAGATTGTTTTTTATTGTTGAGTATGGTAGCCTTGTGTCTGTGAAGGCCAGTACTCACTAGCGAAGTTCCGTTCTTGTTATACTTTGTTCTTTTGCAACCCTTGCTTTTGACTGTGTGTATTAATCCAAGTCATTGTACTTACTGACGAATAAAAATACTTTTCTTTTTATTTAATTACAGATTGTTTTCTTCATTTTTATTATTTCATTTTACCTCTTAATTCTATTACTATAACAATATGATAGATGTAGGTAGTATGCTTTCTCTCTTTATTCTGTTTCTTGGGTGAGTGCAGTAAATTATTATTAAACTGTAATTTTGCTTCAATTTTAGATAATGTGAATTATTATGAGAAATTATTACAAGTATCGGGATACGAAGTTATTTCTAAATAAAGAAACTGTGTGGGGCTGGCTACTGAACTGGAAAAAAGTAACCAAACAAGATAGGGATGGAAGTGGAAATATCATTTGATCCGACTAATGGTCACATAGCAGACTAAACCTTTTTGAATTTACGTGGAGAAGAAAATCCCTACATTACTGGCTTTTCCATTTTGTTTATCGAAAGCTTGGTGTTTGAATAGAATCTCAGCTTTCATCATTACACCTTTCCTTTAGTTAACTTTACAATAATACTTTTATGACTATTTTACAATAGAGTAACATTTTATGATTTGAATTCTGGTTCTATTTGTTTTACCAGTGAAGAAGTCAGTAATGTGGGGTTTTTATTCTCCATGTAAAGTTGAGAAGGCTTAGTCTGCTATGTGATCATTAACCAGATCAAGTGATATGTCCACTTCCATCCCTATCTTGTTTGGTTCCTTTTTTTCAAGTTCAGTAGTCAACCCTAGATGGCTTTTTTATAAAGCTTTTTTGATAAAGTTTTTTTCCTAATACTTGTTTGTTTAATTTTTTTATAAGATGGTGTACATGAGTTTATAGGTTATAAGAGTGTATTCTAAAGCTTTATAAATGTTGCACAGAATAATAACAAAAGAGGTAGTCAAAGGTTTTGTTCTATCAAATGATGATAAAATTATAGTTACTGCTAGAACTAGGTAGGCTCTAGGCCTGTTGTAGAAGGATGATGATGAACAAAAATAGGAAATCTTGGTTTTTGGCTATTCACCAGTTTTCGACTTTGAGAATCTCTGGATTACTAAAAAGCGACATATACATCAGAGATAGAATGACTATGCCAGGTAGCTCTTCATATCTAGCTTCTGATGACCTGTATATGTAATAATTTTTTGTTCACTCCTTCACTTCATACATAATATAGGGGTTGGCTCCCTGAAGACACCGATTGTATAGTGTACAAAGCACTGACTATTCTACATGTTACAGTCATCTAATGTTCACTATTATTCATTGGTAATTCCTGTTTCACCCTGTATTTAAGCTTTTGAAAGGAAACCAGATTTTTGTAAGAAAGCTAACTTCAAGGGGTAATAACATCTTTTACACTAGAATTATGTTCTTTTTTCTTTTCTTTTTTAATTTTGCCTAGAATAATAATAAAAATAGGTAGTCAAAGGTCGTGAAGACTGTTTTGCTCTATCAAAGATTATAAAATTATAGTTACTGCTAGAATTAGGTAGATGCTAGGCCTGTTGAAGAAGGATGATGATGAACGAAATAGGAAATCTCGGTTTTGGCCATTTGTCAGTTTTCGACTTTGAGAAACTCTGGATTGATAAAAAAGTGACATATACATCAGAGATAGAACGACTATGCCAGGTAGCTCTTCATATCTAGCTTCTGATGACCTGTAGAGAAGAAAATACAGATGACTTTTGTATTGCTTAGATACGAGTGTCCATGCCATCCCTACATGGAGTGCTAGCACACTTTTCGTTAATAGTTATCTTTTATTTTTACACTGTATACTTCAGTTTCAGTCTTAGATCATATGTGTTTGTTGAGTCTGAGTGTGTTGTATGACTAGGAAACACAAACATAGATTCATTGGATAATTTAAAGATTTATTAAACACCAAACAAATGAATATTCCAAGTTCAACTCATAACATTTACTCAAACTTTCAGCATATCGAATTGGCTTTACAGAAGATTTATTGCTGTCCAGTGCAGGACATTTTCCAGTTACTACAGCTTTTGGAAAATATTTCTTTTAACATTTCTCAACAGGTGAGTTCTAGCATTGTAGTTTTGCATTTTAACAGTTTTTTTTTTTTCATACAGACCAAAAGTGTTTGTAAAAACCTCAATTTGTCATTGTCTTACATTGTCAGAATCGAAATGAAGCCTTTTGTCCATTTTTTCAATCATATATTGCATTTTTGCATAGTTCAAAATTGGGCCCCATCCCTCGATAAGATAAGTTATACATGTACAGTTACTCCATCCCCATGTGATTAGTCTGTACATGTAACTTTACCCCATCCCCACATAAGGTGATTAGTCTGTACATGTAACTTTACTTCGTTAGTTTATACACATAACTTTACCCCATCCCCACATAAGGTGATTAGTCTGTAAATGTAACTTTACCCCATCCCCACATAAGGTGATTAGTTTATACATGTAACTTTACCCCATCCCCACATAAGGT